TAACACATTGCAAATTCTTAGAGAGCTACGGCCCACGGCACAATCCTCGACTTGGAAGATTATTTACAATAAAACAACTTGTGGGTTATGAGGAACAAACGGGACCACCAGCACCAAACATATTTGCTGCTTTGGAGGCGTTCTCTTTGCCATAGTCCTGAACAATTAAAAGGGACTAGTAATTGTTAAGCTTCATAGACTCTAAAATTAGATGTAGAAGCTTGAACCGATCATCACATGGGGGATAAGCTATCATGTTGACAAGTTCTTTTCTTTGCTTTTTTAGGTTCATGGGTGACTTTTTAGTCATGATCCCTTGGATGATTTGGTTTATTGGAAGGCCTATGAAACACTGGGCCCATTATCCTCCGTATGTCATCTTTCTTTCTGCTTTAACATCTTTCCATTTACAATAGATTACGTTCATCTTTATTTAAAAAAATAGGTTCATCGTCATCACTAGTCTATAACGAATGAAAATCATTTACAATATTACTGATTAATTATAGAAACTTCTATACGATGGGGTAATGATCGTTCGAAGTCCCGTACACATGGGGTTAAGTCGAATCTTTTTTTGACTGAGTTTTTGTTTGGATTTTAAGTTTTTTTAAAATAAATAAAAACACAAAATTAAATATTTTTTAAATCTATTATATATAAATCTGCAAAATTAGTCTATCTTGTACTTGCATCACTAATAATCCTTTTCCTAGAAAGAGAGGGGAGAAGGATGGAAAATTTTGGAAAAAAATGCTTTTTGTTCATTGAGTTTGTCAACTGCGATGACCTACCAAGAAGAAACACTAAATTAGGAAACGACTAATTTTAAATAAGGGAACAATCGGCATGCACCGAGGGTGTTGGTGGTCCTATGATTTATCAATGAATTTTGTACTGCAATTCTGAGATGGCATACTTTTTTATGCTCTCAAATTTCATTTGAATGAATGGATTATGTTTCTGCTTTCCTATTAGAAGATTTGGGATAAGATTCAAAGATTAGATAATAAGAATTTAACATGATTTGTAATTTTTCTAACATGTCAAAAGGATTCAGGATTAAATATTCAGCAGGTGAGCAATAAAAGTCCTGCAAAATCTCAAGGTAGTTTCATACATAACAAGAATCAAATAATAACTAGCACACGCTTGGCTCTCTATTTAAGACTATATGTAGGTTGCTATGATTTTCTCACACTTCCATCGTAGCAATGACCGATAGTTCTTGATTCATAAAAAATAATAAAATAATAATAGCAACAGTAGGATAAGAAATACAAGGGGATGAGAAAAATGACAAATGTCAATCCCTTGATTCACATGTATATTGAAGCATACGGTAACAAAACAGGTAACTAATCAACCCTTATGAGGGGACATTGATAGCGCTTGGCAAAGAGGCTGAAAGTGTCAACTTGGCATATGAAATTTACCATGCTTACCCCTCATCCCAATCCAAATCCTACCACTAAAACCCATATTACTATAAACATGTTCATGGAGTACAGTCCTACCTGTCCTCCCAAATACGATGGAGGTCTCTTTATTGCATTCTGTCAATACCATAATCGTCTCATTAAGATAATCTCAGATTGTATATGAAAGCTTCTTTCATTGCTTTTTATATGACTTATCAATGACATGCTTATATTATATCTAAAAGTTTGTTAAGTGATCATGACATATTCAATGAGATGAGCATTTGTACTTTGCTAACCTCCCTAGCTAATGCTAAAGCAAAGGTGACCGTGTGTGCTAATGTTAGGATTATGTAAATAAGAGAGACCCAACAGTTGAGTTAATAGGGCCAAAGAAAGGAAAAATGATTGCCAGGAACCATATTGGAATTACTACTGGAAATCAAGCCATTTCCCTCTTGACTAAACTCTTCGTTTCATGTGCTTCGATAACCTTTTCCCACGCAAAATATAGAGGAGTACAAGCAATCCAAAGGTTATGAACTGCAAAGTTCCACCAACATAAGAGTCTCTTTAGATAGTATTAATATATCATATATAATAGGTTCCCTTAAATTTTTATCAGTGATATGTCTTAAGCCATAAGTCTTTAGGCTTTATTGGACGGAATTGGAAATAGACCTGGTGAATGAGCATTAGAATCACAGTTATGTCCCTGAAGCCTGTCCTTGGGGAGAGGGCGTTAGAATGGGTAAGGAGCATGTCCCCAAATGCGCAATACACTATAGCTGCTGGTGGCAAAGTTAGGGTCAGCACGTACAGTGTTGCCATTAGATATATCAGCTTGAATTTTTGTGGCTTCCATATTGCATGCATAATTTCCCTACAATATAGCATCACATTGATGTCTATCAAATTCATGTTGCTCTCATACATAAGCTGTCTCTACCTTAACTAAAAAAGTCAACTTTAAATCTCATTGAGTATGCACAAAGTTCCCTATGAGTTCTGAAGAACAGTGTTCCTTGCAATTGAATGAAACCTCTTAAACCCAAAATAATCCTTGTTTGTGCATGTTTCACTCAGGCTTCAAGTTCTCACAGTGTAACTGCATACCCACCAAAAGTGTAGAGGATGTTGGTAACCCTAGTGAAGTAGAGAACCAACCCCTCAACCTTCACAATCATATTAAGGGCATTGCTCAGCGACATATATATGTTGACAAGGATTTTGAAAAATCATTTACTGTTCATAATTATGTGATTTACTTATCTAGTTGATGAGATAAGTTATGTCCCTTACTTGTCCATGGATAAGGGAGGCTATGGTTAGATACTATGGAATGTAAGTTGTCATCATAAGGCCCAGGAAGGACTAAATTCTATGACTGTGGAAAGAAGGGACAAACATTATTCTTGCACAGCAGGCACTAAATATACAAGTCCAAGTTCTTTTGTCAAGATTGTCGTTTATGTAATATATAGTAATAAAAGATTCATTCATTGTATTAAGAAAGAAAAATGTTCGATTTATATTTGAACGTTATATATTAATTGTAGCTGTTAATTTGAATGGGGTAGGCTTATTTAGGTTGGGTTCAATTTGAGTTATTCTTAAAATATCATGTCCCTTCTTAAGAGCCCATATGGCCAAGCTCAACTTTAATACCTTCAAGCTTATTCGGGTCGGCCCAAATACCCAAAATTTTTAAAAATATTTTTTCTTTATTTTTGAACCAAATTTAATTTTTAAATAATTCTGTTAAGCATGAAATATTATTTTAACTTTAAAAAATAATAACTTATCAACTTTGTTACTATTTTGTTGTATCATGTATAGTTTATCCATGAATGTTTCATTTACTTATAAATCAATATTTAATTTATTTAAATATTTCTCTTATCATAGTCATATATAAATATTTTATATATTTTAATTAAATTATATTATTTTAATTATGATTAAGTTAATTTTAATTCAATCACAGTTATACTATTAACTAAAAATCACCGTCCCGATTTATTCAAAGTTTTTAATAACTTTTAGGTAAATTGTACTTTTTATTTTTAAGAATATGAGAAAAATAATTATCATTATATTATATAAAATAAAATTATTTAACTATGAGTAAAATTCTATTTTTTTGGAATCATTTTTTTCTTTAACTTTTTTATATTGTTTAACCCTTACATACAAAAAATCTTTGCTCTAGTTTATTCTTAATTTTTAATGAAGTTTGGCATGAACGATAATCAAATAATTATTCTAAAATATTACTCTATTTATTATATTTATTTAGTAATAGAGTTAAAAATTCTTACAAGCCCAAATTTTATTTTTAAAATTATTTAAAAATTTATTTTTATTTTAAAATTAATTATCTTATCTTATAAAAAATATAAAATATATTTGTTTAGATACGCAAATGATATATAGGACTTAAAACCTTTTTTAAAAAAATTAAGTTTTAAAATATAAAAATGAATATTAAGATATATTTTAAATATTATTTTGAGATATTTTTTGATTAAAAATAATAAAAAAATTTAAAAAATTTTTAAAAAATAATAATAGAAATGCATTTAAATATATAGTCTTTTTGTATAAAATAATATAAAATTTAAAAAAATTAATTAATATTTATTTATATTTTATATATTTTTTAAAAATTACTTTTTTATTTGAGCATTCAGGCAAAGTTTGAATTTAATTAGGCTTGACCTAAATTTTCTTAAGCCCGAATAGGTTTGAACTTAAAAAATTAAATATTTTTTTAACTTGATCTTAAATTTTTTGAACGAATATGGGATGACCCATTTAGCTTGGTTCAAATTATCAATTTTAATATTAATCAAGATTATTATTGAATACCTTACCTTGCACAAGTAATTGATTGAATTACCGAACCAACAAAAGGAAAGTACAGTTGAAGAAAAGACCCACGCTCCTTAGGGGTGAGCATCGGTCGGTTCGGTTTGGTTCGGTCTTAAAATATACAGAACCGATCGATCGAATAACACTAAAAATGAAAACCGAATCGAACCGAATAAACCAATCAAATCGAACAAGGACCGAACCGAAATTTAATAATTCGGTTCGGTCGGTTAATTCGATTTTTTGGTTTCATATTGGGCTACTTGAAATTGGGCCCATTTTTTTAAAATATTAAAAAACAATACTATAAAATTGGGCTTTTTTTTATTCGTTTTTTTCAATGAGCCCATTTTAACATGTGCTTGCTAACAGAATTTTTAATCCAGCCAAGTGCCATATAAAGAATCCTTCCTCAGGCTCACATCACCGTTTGGTCCAAAAAAAGTTGACAAAAAAAAACGAATAAGAAAGAAACCAAAAAAAAAAGCTCGCATCACTGTTCAATTCCACATGAGGAATTCCTATCAGCCAAGTACCATATAATATTGATAAAGAGAAGAAGATAACTTTAAATATTAAAATTAAACAACCACAGTACTATATAATCCAGTCATAGAAACCAACAAGTCTTTAAAATATTAAAATTAAACCATTACAATAATCAAATATCCAAATTAGTAAAACAAAATAAAATGAGCAACCTTTATAAATGGAGTACCATAGCACTAGCATCTTGCAACCTACATTACACAAGTAAAAATCATATAAGAAGCCAAGAAATCCTGCCCATCAGCTGAAAGTCTAAAATCAAGAAGTTACTAATATCAAGTAGAGAGTATGAGCATTCAATTGCAATAATTTGCCTAATGTAGAGACAAATCATAAGCAAAATCTAGATTAAATATGCTTATAACTTGTTAAAGGAACAAGATTATAGTTCTTACAATTCATTAATTTTGGTGTCATATTGACGAGCATCAAATTGTGATTCCTCAGCCTCAGGTGCTGTTGCTGCCATGACTGGAAGATGCAAAGAATTATTTACAGATCATCATGAAAAGAACTGGACGACAAAGCTTACATAACTACTAAATAATAAACATAATAGTATAGCAATTAAAAAGCTATATACAGCCACAATGCCTCAAGCTATAACAATTAAAACATAACAGTATATTAAAATTAAACAGCCACAGTGCCTCAAGTCATTAAATTTAAAAATTAAAAAGCTAACATATAAATAATTACCTCAAGTCATTAAGAACAAAGGCTCATAGTACATCCACATTCGCTTCTATAGCAATTTTTTGAAGATCTAAACATAAATAAAGTATTTAATATTAATATCATTTAACCAATAGCTCAACATTAAATTTAAAACAATATAACACATAATAAATCACCTCTCTCAATCTTTTGTGCGTTATCTATCTTCTCTTCTACTAGAACCAGAAGTGAGTGGCGAAGCCAGTCTTGACCACAAACAAGAGATTGCACAACTTTAGGAGTTAAAGAGCTCCTAAATGAATCTAGCACACGTCCTCCAGTGCTGAAAGTAGACTCAGAAGCAACAGTAGAAATTGGGACAGCCAAAACATCCCTTGCCAATTGAGAGAGAATGGGAAATCTAGGCTCATTCAACTTCCACCAACTTAAAATATTAAAATCATCCTTATCCATCTCAATTTCTTCAACCAAATACTTGTCAACTTCTGTCCTACTAGTTCTCCCACCAAGCCTTTCACTCATGAATTTTTTCTTTTCATATTCAAGAATTTTTTTAACTTTCACAGCTGGGTCATCATCTTCATCAGATTCGTAGCAATTAAATGATTGCTCCTTTTCAACTTGCTTTGAAGGAGAGACATGCTCTTTGTATTCATTATACAAAGAAATGAGCAAATCATTCAATTGCCCTCCAACTTGCTTTCCAACCTCACTAGAATACATCTTATCAAGTGAATATTGCACCCACTCAAGCTTATACCGAGGATCAAGAATAGCAGCCACAAACATCAATTTATTGATTTTTGAAGGATCTCCCCAATACTTATCAAATTTTTCTTTCATTTTATAAGCCATTGAAGAAAACTCCAAATCATCACATTTTCTCCACTCATCCAAAAGGCGGAATAACATATAAATCTCATGAAAAAATTCATTAGATGTGACAAGTGAAGAACTAGAAACACGCAAAGTCAACTCATAGAAATGACTTAAAAACATTGTCATCTTTCTTACATTTGCCCAATCTTCAACATTAGGCACTCCCTCCCCACTTTCAAGATCAATCCTAAAATAAGGGTCCTTATCCTCAAACCTCCTAAAGGCAGCCTCAAACTTTTGAGCTGTCTCCAACATCAAATAGGTAGAGTTCCACCTAGTAGAGACATCTAAAGACAATAATTGCTTACTTGGGATTTTCTCATCTTCACAACTCTCTTTGAATTTTTTCATCCTAAGTGGAGATTGCCTCACAAAATGAACAGCCCCCCTTACTTTCTTTACAGAAGTTCCTATTTCTTTTAACCCATCAACCACAATCAAATTAATAATGTGAGCAACACATCTCATATGTAAAAACCAACAGCTCATAACAGAATGGCCCCAATTATTAATTTTTTCTCTCAAGTAAGACACAACAACATCATTAGTAGAGGCATTATCTACAGTAATAGTAAACACTCTTTCAATCCCCCATTCAAGCAAACATTTCTCTATTTCCATTCCAATATCCCTCCCCTTGTGACTAGATATTGGAACAAAATTTAAAATCCTTTTAACCAAATTCCAATCAGCATCAATGAAATGGGCTGTAATACACATATAGTTGATTCTTTGAATTGAAGTCCAAGTGTCAGTAGTGAGGCAAATCATTTGTTTACTATTGATCAAATAATCCTTGAATTTGATTTTTTCATCAACGTAAAGTTGAAAACAATCACGAGCAACAGTCCATCTAGAAGGAATCTTAAATTTTGGTTGAGCATGAGACATAAACCTCTTAAATCCTATCCCCTCAACAAATTTAAATGGCAATTCATCAGTCACAACCATAGCAGCCAAACTTTTCCTAATAGCATCTTGATCAAATTTCCAAGTAGCAAGAACAATAGCATCATCTTCTATACCAAAATTTAAATGTGTTTGCCTAGGCTCTTCTAGTTCAGGTCGTTTCTTGCATATTGTCATATGGTTCTTTAGTGCAGTAGTACCATTTCTTTTAGGATCACTAAAAAATTCTTTTTCACAATAGTTGCACTTACCTTTGGTCTCCCCATGCTCATTCACATATCTAGTGAAATGATCCCAGACCTCAGATCTTGGCCTCATGGCTTTCCTCTTCATCCTTTGCAAGGAACTCATTACTTCAGTTCCACTTGATGCTACTGGGGCTTTGTTTTCTTCATTAACTTCAGTTTGGTTTGTAGCCATAGCTTCAGCTTGAGAAGACATCTATGACAATGCATAGCAATCAAAAAAAATAAATACAAAGTAGAGACAGAGCAACTCAGCAAAGAACGCGAAAGCAGTCAATTAAATTCCCAATAACATTTTCCTTTGTTGCATTTTGGCTTGAAAGGAACACACCACATAAACAAAAAAGAGCAAAGAAGTAGGGACATAGACGGAAGATGAACCAAAGAAAACTCATTGTCAAGCTACAGTGAACTTCACAGCTAATGACGACATGAATCTCAACAATGCATAATCAAGCATAAAGTTCATAGTGTGGACTCACAGAGGAAGCAATTAGAACTCTTATGAAACAACTAGATCTTGGGCATGGTAGATCAAGATAACAAGAACAGACCAAATTAAAGGGAGAGAGAGGAAGAGCTGCATTTCGAGGGAAGAAGCAAAAAACCTGTTAAAATGCTTTACGCAGATTGTCCTTCAAGCTTAAGGTTCTGTGTTTCACAGATCTAAGCAGCCTCTCGCCTTCAGACAGTGTCTCCGTGAGTTTAGTGACAGCAAGGGCAAGAGAGAGAGAGACTGAGATGCCAGAACAGAGATAGGAAATCTGAGCTGCGAATAATCAACCTGAGATGTAAGAGATGCGAACGGCAAGATGCGAGAGATGCGAACGACGACGGCTTGAGGGAGACGACTTGCGATCTGAGAGTTGAGAGTCTGAGAGGCTAAGACAGAGCGATCGAGTGAGGCTGTGAATCTGTGGTGACCTGAGCCGCGAGAGAGATGGCTGATGAGTGATGAGAGAGAGCGACCGGCGAGGCTATGTGACGGCGAGAGAGACGACTTGCGAGTTGCGATCTGAGAGATGAGAGTCTGAGAGCCGAGAGGAAACTTGAGATGAGACAGGGTTAGGGTGAGTGAGGCTGCGGTCTGCGTCTGTCCGGACTGAGGCAGTGAGGCAGGATATGACTTATGGGTTAGGGTTTTTTTCAACTTTCATATTTTTATTTCAATATAAATTAAAATAATAAAATAAAATAATTTATAAATTAATAAGTAATACATAATTCGGTTGGTTCGGTCTATTCGATTTTAAATTTTATTAACCGAACCGAACCGATCAACCGAAATATTTTTAAATAAAAAACCGAATCGAACCGAAAAATCAAATAGACCGAATCAAATAATAAAAATTCGATTCGATCCGATTCGATTTTCGGTTTCGGTTCGGTTTTGCTCACCCCTAACGCTCCTCCAGTACTTCCCAAGCAGTCCGTCAAGAACTTCAAACCACTGTGAAAGATCAAAATAGAAATAATAAACAGGATTAAATAAGGAAAGTCATGAAGATATTAGCCTGATTAAGGTTTTGTGAAAGGTAAAAAAAAAACAAAGAAACACACACACACACACACACACACAAATTGGAATACCTGAATTACATGGCTCTCGAAATCAACCTTCTCCCCCTCCTTTCTGGTTCTATACACAACATAAAAAACACTAATAAGGTAAACCGTCCTGCTTCCCACAAGTCCATAAAAAAGCTGAAAAATTATCCTAGATGACATCCCCAATTGTGAAAAGGAATATGGTAATGTCAATAGCACTTGTACAACTTACATGGAATTTCGTCAACCATTTAGAGAGCATCCGCCAAAAGAATACTGTTTTTTCTCAAAGAAAAAGATAACGAAAAATGTGATGTTACTTGAAGAAGCAGTACCTGATTAGAAGCACAGCTGAAACATGCATCATACACAGAACCGCCATGCCAAAATAGCTTGGATAATTTGCTCCTAGTTGACTTGGAATCGCCATCATCTTCCTCCATTTCTAGGTAGTTACTAGCAATGACAGTCTCAACCTTCTCGGAAGCTATTCTTATGACTTGTGAGTTCAGGTACTGGAGGGGAATGAAAACATTGGACTAAGTGCTTAAATATAGACAGAAGAAAGTGCTTCTTAAGTTCTCCACTTCTACTTCCCCGTCTTAACTCTTACGTGGTTTCTCTTACCTGATATAACTTCTTTTGAGCGATTCACTGAATACCCCTTGCTTTACATAATTTAAGGAGTTTTTTTCATAGCTATATAAGGAGTTTTATTTGTAGCTTTATTAGGTGTCTGATTCAGATATTGGATATCCAACGAACGAGACCGAACATTTTCGTGGGCTTCAACGAGGTCGAGATAGCAACGTTGCATGATCGGGTGGCCCGCCATGGCCCATTATCAGAAAGAGCCCATCCATACTGATTGATCATGAATGTAGGGTAGATAGAGAAAAAGTGAGAGTGAGTGAGAGGTTACAAATTTGGGTATGAGTCAGGTTAGGGGGAGCCAAGCTTGGATGCTGTGTGGGACTGACTGCTTTTGAGAGGGGACTCGGTGCTAATTATGATTAGTCCTACACGTGATCCAACTAGCTTTACAAAAAAATCTTAACAAGATCATCTCTCTTTTTAAACTTTCATCGATAAAATCTATTTTAATCGCTTAATGTTGATTAATGTTTTTTGTGTGCTAATAATGATGCCAAGAGCCTCGTGTAAAGTAAGAAAAAAAAAGTCTGCAATTGAGCATCTCTTTTTTATTTTATTGAATGCGCAATAAGGTAATCATATTCTCTTTAAAAAAGAAAAATAAGGTAATTAATTAATTATAGAATTTGTGGGCTCGAATATTTTATAACGAATTCCTTTATAGATGATCTGAATGAATGATCATCTAGTTTTAGCATGCCCAAGTTATAATACCCCAAAAAAAAAAAGATGAAGGAAAAGAAAGCGAAGATATAGTTTTAGATTTTGTAGGTTTGATTCCGAGACACACGCCTGCCTCCGGCCAAAAAGAGATATGAAGCTTCTAAGTAGTGTATGATAGAAATGAGAATAAGA